TTACAGCGTTGGTTTCCCCAAAAGTGGGCGGGGCTGTAAAGTGACGTTTTACTATCATCTATTATTCAAAACCATTCTATTTATTCTAACGTAAATTACATGCCAGTGTTTTATCTTTTTATTTATTTGTTTTTATTTTAAATCGTATAATGTCGGACTTTTTTCCCGTCTGTAAGGAAAATAAATGGGGTTTAGAGCCTCAAAATACTGAAATCTGTATTTTTTTAAATCTTTTCCTTCTAATTTGTTATTATTTTCTAAATAACACACTGTTATTTACTCAACCATAACACACAATTATCCTTGTTTTTATTTATTCGTTTAATTCTATAATCTTGGGCATTTTAGCCGTAAATAAAGTCACCGGAAACAGGCGGGACATTTCGAGCGATACACACCACAAACCCACCGAACTGATTACCCAAGATCCTCAGCTTGAAGCTCGTTGATTGGATGTTTTAGCCGCAATAAACGCTGGTATATGGTGTTAATAAGTTGTGATATCCGAAAACGAAAAATAAAATAATACCTAATTCAGAGTGTTCTTGCTTTTCTCTTTGGAAGTCATCACATAACGGCATTGTAATACACGGTTCGGCTGCATTAAATATTATACATCTGCCGTAGTTCTTTATTTATAGAGCCCTGATGAGAAGACTTCTAGACAAACATGAGGAACTGCCGCCAAAACTGAATACTTGATGTGGATCATAAATATATCAACAATTAAACAACATCTTCAATTTCTTTTCACAAAATACGTCTCCTTGCAGTATCAATAGTAATTCGGCTGACTTTTATATTTGATCCAATTGGTAGATAATAGGTTATATTTACACCATAACGGTGCACAGCTGATAGAAAAGGACTTGTAGTTTTTAAAGATATTACTGATTTCTTTGAATATAAGAATGTAAATACTGAGTTGAGAGAATAGTCAGGGGATTTGGGTGATGGGAGACACATCTATGGATTCAGAATTTCAATAGCTTACCATTAAATGACGGATATACCTTTCTGTCTGTGATGTTTTACAAATCAGATATTAATGTGTAGAAGTAAAATGTGAAATAATATAGCAATATCCTGTAAAATTATGTAAAAACATGAATAAAACTACACATCTTCAGATGTTATACATACATAAGTGTTCTACACTAATAATACAAAGTTATTATTAGTATGCTGTGTGTACTTTGTGTGCACCGCCTAGTGGTTAAAGCACGTTATTGAATTATTTTTGTTGAATAATGTTATTTGATGAAAACAATATTAAGAGTACATACTTTCATAGGGGGAAAGTAGAAGGTCAATGATAGAAATATAGAATATAAAAAGTCAAGAAGATACTATAAGTGATCTCTACAATAAAACAGTTTAGTGCAGGATGTACAAAGATATTAATAGGAGGATGTGCAAAACAGAAAAACGAATTAACCTTTATTAACACATTAAAGAATACTTTAGGTTAAGGTCTTATTTTAAACAAGAAAAAAGCTTTGGGGGTATCTATCTACCGATGAATATTAAGCCTGACAAAGTACTTAACGTCTAATATATTGCTTTCCTGCAATGTTAACTATGTTGAAGCACTTATTTTAACTGATATTATACACATTAATTATACTCTTATGTATGTAGATAGAATAATAAATGTGCAGAATATGACAGTTTAATGGTGGAGGTACACACATATTGATAGATGTCTTGTAATGCGCTGTTGAGGAACCTGCGACCCAAGTTGTGTATATGATCAAGAAACCTTAGAAAATCTTGAAATCTTGAAAGGGATGTGCAAAATAGCCATTATACAGTTTTTAATTAACTATTAGTAGAGAATAACGAGTAATGAATATACTTTATAGAGATCTGCAGATAAATGTTTCGTCTTCTCAAGCACCACCTATCAAATATCTCTCCTGATTGTTGGCACTTGACAATCACCTTCCCTGAATTTTACTCAGGTGTAACTAAAGTCTGCTTTAAGGGTTGTTTATATTTCACATCATTAATCAGAATCTGCAAAGTAACTAAACTAAATGTAGTGGAGTAAAAATACCAGGTTAACCTCTGAATTGTAGTGGAGTAGAATTACAAAGTAACAATGAGCTGTCGTGTGGGTATATATTAATGCTGCCCATTATGGATATAAGCGATTTTTACCCATTTAGTAATTACATGTTTTAAATGTGTACACACCAATGTGTTTCCTATCGCCTAAACCTCCAGGGCTGTACACAGTTTAATACTGGCAACTTCTAATTTTGGGAAAAAACGTCTTTTAAAACTACAATTCCCAGTAGATACGTGCCATAGAGAACATGTTGCGAAACACAATAGCCAGCATGTGTATTTCTCGGGGGGCGTTCGAGTCCAGTTTTGAATAGTCTGCCGTGGTTTCGTTCCATTTCAAAGAGCTTGACGCTCGGCGTAACCTTGGCGCACTGCCACTCCAACATCACAGGGTTAGTCAACGGGACTGTAGTCCCAAACGATAGCTGGGGATTATGGGTAGTGTAGTGTCTTCGGCCATCCTAAATCTCGAAATGTCCCGTCTGTTTCTGGTGACTTTATTTACGGCTAAAAAGCCCAAGATTATAGAATTAAACAAATGAATAAAAACAAGGATAATTGTGTGTTATTGTTGAGTAAATAACAGTGTGTTATTTAGAAAAGAATAATAAATTAGAAGGAAAAGATTTTAAAAAATACAGATTTCAGTATTTTGAGGCTCTAAACCCCATTTATTTTCCTCACAGACGTTTATACGATTTAAAATAAAAACAAATAAATAAAAAGATAAAACACTGGCATGTAATTTACGTTAGAATAAATAGAATGGTTTTGAATAATAGATGATAGTAAAATCTACGTCACTTTACAGCCCCGCCCACTTTTGGGGAAACCAACGCTGTCATTTGAACGGCGATCAAGCCTGAAGCCACAGGCTTCTTTTACTGTCTTTTCTTCTTAGAGGAAGTACAGAAACACGTAACTCTGGATTTGTTTTAATGTTTGAGGTAAACGACACAGCAGCTTTTTGTCATGTTAAAACTATTATTTTCTGCCTCGCTCATGAGAGTAACAGCTGGCGAAATTACAGCCTCGCCTACTGATTTTAATGTAACCATATATCGAGCCTGATTCTCGATTTCAAAGGTGTACTCTAAAATGATATTTATAAATGACTATTATCATTATCATAAGCAAGACAATAAATGGCAAAGATATGTAGAAAATAAACGTATTTAAGATACGTTCATAAGGAACGTAACGTGGGAGAAAATATGTTTCTAGAAGATATGTAGAAAATAAACGTATTTTAGATACGTTCATAACGAACGTAACGTGGGAGTAAATACGTTTCAAGCTAAACGTAATTCAGAATGCAGTTTAGTTCTGTGGGAACGTAATTTTTAGGAGACAGGGTTGTGCCGAGATACAAATTTGATGAGACACGGAGGCGATCATGCCTAAACGTGCTGTGAACACGGATAAACGTCATTTATCTGCTTGTTGAATTTCCTGGGAGGGATTGAATGCGGCGTAGAGGGCCTGCACGCGGTCGGCTTGTGCGTAATGCGACTTCCGTGTTCACGGATCGGCTGATCGAGGGGCCTCGACTCGGTTCTGATACCCGTGTTTCCGCGGATGGAGGTCTTCTCCTCTCGCTCTTGCTTGATATCTGCTACGAGGATCTGAAACGGGTATGTCGGCAGCATGAACACCTGAAGTCACAGCTGATTGAAATCTAAAATGATGGTCAAAAATGTATCGTGCTTCCCTTCATATTCACGTAACGGAAATGATTAATTTATTTCCATTTATAGTAGTATACTTGTACACTTAATAATAATAAGTTCCATTTATAAAGCACTTCATATTTGATTTCAAATCCCGAAGTGCTACAAGTAGTGAGCATAAACAATATAAATAAACATTACACAACACGGTAGAATTAATTAAATAAATAAATAAAAGGGTGATAAAAAGGTCTAGGTCTAGCTCTTTTGAAGAGATGGGTTTTGAGGCCTTTTTAAAAGCCTCCACGGTCTGTGGTGCTCTCATTTGTTTGGTTACAACTTCTGTATAATTGCCTCAAATATGACTTAGGCCTACTGCATGCCAAATATTTCCATAATAAAACATTGCTTATGCAGAATAGTATTATATACCTGCCAAGATGCGATTCCTAATGCTGCGTTCGCACAAGGAATTGCTGCTGCAGGGGGCAGGAACATAGGGCAGGAAGCTAGAACTTGTGACTGGATCTGGGACTCCAATTCCCAGAATCCTCGGGGGTGTGACGTCAGCGGCACAACGTGGTTGAACGCGGAAGTAGAAACATTTGTTTACATTGCAGGCAGAGGAAATCGAGTTTGTTCACGGGAATATCGTGGAATTAAAGGCTTCAGGCGCTGATTTTACTTCGAGAAGGTAGGACAGGATGGCAGGGAATGCCGGAGTCAGCTTGCTCCTGCCTTTTGTTGTTTAAATACCCACCGACCGAGAGACAGTGCGACTCTTAGCTGACACACAAGAGAGGGGTTGTTACCGGAGCTGGCGTAGAACTCGGGACTTCCTCTGGCCCAAAGGATATTAAAAGCTACTCCAGATAAGGACGGAAGGGAGTGGGACACCTGCATGTGTGTCGTGCGGGAGCTGTGGGTCGTTCCAGCGGCGTCTGAACCATGCTCTGAGCTAGCCTGTGTTTCGGGAATGAGGCATTTCTTACGGTTTCTTGCGTATGATGATTCGGTTCCAGAGTCGGAGATTGCAATTAGGGGTGGGCAATATTGAAAAATATGTTATCACGATATTTTCAAGCAGTATCACGATAGACGATATATATCACGATATTTTTTCATGTCGGTTATTATGGTTATTTTTCAAGTTACTTAACAGTACAAGCACCTACATGGTAACAGAAACTAAGACAAAAAGGAGTAACAGACCAAAATAGCATTTCAAGCTGGTTTTATTTCAGAAATGAACAAGTGAGCAGTGAACATCAATAAACATGAACATCAATAAACATATTATTATTATATAACAAATATAAGCCAACAGAATCAAACAAGACAATAAATAAAGTGCAAAACTGTCTGAATCCTGACTAGACAGCTTTAGAGCATGTCTTCACATTGTATAGTTTTCTTTTTTTTAAACTTGTTTTACTTTTATTTTCTTGTTGACAGAACACAATCACAGATTTTTTGCCAGGAAAATCAGTTTGTCAACTTTCTCTGGCTTGAGAGTTGCCCTTTGGCATGTGACAATATTGCCACCAGTGCTGAACACTCTCTCTGAGGGAGCACTAGTTGCCGGAATGCAGAGATACTTTCTAGCTAATTGGCTAACCCTTGGAAAGTTTCCATCATGGTTTTGCCACCATTCCAGAGGATCCATTTCACTGTCTGCATTTGGTACGGACAGGTAGGACTTCAATTCTGCATCTATTGCTTCTTTTAGGGATGGAGAAGCAGCAGATGTGCCAGCTGAAGTTACAGAGGTCTTCAAAAAGCTGGCCAGTGTTTTCTTAGCTTTCTTTTTGTGGGGGCCCTGGTTTGCTTCTGCCTCAAGGCTCTGTGATGTGGAGGTAGATGAAGATGCTGCGGGACACTGTGCTTGTAAAGTGACAGTCAGCAAGGACTCAAGCTCAGACACAGCTCTGGCTTGTATCTTCTCTAAGTTGTCACTGTCAATGTACTTTATTTTGAACCTTGGATCAACAAGTGAAGCCATATCCAGCAGTTCATCAGTTTTGGGATCCTTGTATTTGTCAGTGAGGTAGTTGAGAATGGTCATCTTCATTTCTCCTGAGAGGTCAGTGTCGTCATCATCCACTTTTAAGAGGTGTTCTTTGAACAGGTGAAGCACTGGCTTTGCATAAGACACACTCACATAGTCCTCAGCTAAAAAGAAAAGAAAAAAAGAGGACAAATAGTAATTATGTTTGTATATTGAGTTGTATTGATTGTATTGCCACTTTTCTAATTAAAAAATATATAAATAATAAAACATTTAAATAAACTCACCCGAGAGTGCATCTGTGAAGTCCCGTAGTGGACCCAGGGCCTTCACTACAGACTCCATCACATCCTTTTCGTTGTATCCAGCGACCAAACACCTTGTCTTCTTGTCTGCCTTAAGGATCTCAGAAATGGCCTTTTCCTGTTCCAACACTCTCTCAATCATAGCGAGTTTGGAGCCCCATCGAGTTGGTGAGTCGGTGATGAGTTTGTGCGGAGGTAGCTTCATCTCTGTTTGAAGCCTAGCCAACTCCCTCTTTTTCTTCCAGCTGAAGGAGAATGCACTGACCATTTTCTTCAAGATGGACACTGTGCGATCAACACGAGGGTCTTTGGCACTTTTTTCTAAGAAATAGAAGATAAAGATTTATTAATCTGGTTTAACCTCCTCTGCCAACTATTTTGCATAACAATGCAAAGTTTGGCCTAGCTTGTAGAATGCAATATTTATTATCACTACTAAATATATATATATATTTTGAATAGGACTTAATTGGTTAATCACACAATACATTTTGATTCACATTTTCATTAAACTATTTATATTTTTAATTCTACTATTTTTTTTCTTGTTCTGTAGATATGGATTTTTATATATTTTATTGAAATGCATCACACACAAACACACACAAAATGAAGAAACGTATCATTTGTAGTCATATATTAATATAATACTTGTTTCACTCACCGATGGCCAGGTGAAGTCTGTGACCAAAGCACTGCAGGCGAGTCCAGGCGTTAAGATCCAAAGCTTTAACCATGTTGGCTCCACTGTCTGTGGTCATGCAGATCATGTTCTCCTCTTTCAGTCCCCAGCCTTGAAGTAAGTCCCTTAGGCCATGTGCGATTAGTTCCCCTGTATGGTCTACCGGGAAGTATATCGTTTGGAGACATGCACTTTGCAGCTTCCACTTGTGAATGAAATGAATGGTCAGACTCATATACGGTTCTGACGTGCGGCTAGACCATAAATCACTGGTTGTAGCAAAAAACTGGACATTTTGAATTTCCTGTTGTACCTTCTCTCGGCATTCAGTGTACATTTGTGAAATGGCCTTTGTAGAAAAATATTTTAGACTGGGCACCTGGTACCGTGGGTCAACTGTTTTCATCAGCCTCACGAAACCTTTGTTTTCCACGCTCTGTATTGGTTGCATATCTTTGGCCACATAAAACGCCACCGCGTCAGTTATGTCTTTCCACCGTTTGCTAGTCTTTTCATAAGGAGCCCCTTTATGAAATGCCTAACCTATGGTAGTTTGTTTTGGTGCAGTCGCTGCGGTAGATTGTGCATTCACACGCGGGGGACCTTGCACTCTTACAGTCTCTGCATGCTCTTTCTGGTGCTTGCGTTTGAGGTGGTCTCGTAAGCCCGACGTGTTGCCATCTGTCGCTTTGAAATGTCCTTGTTTGCACATTTTGCAAATGACATTTGTTTGCTCCGTGTCTGTTGTCTTATAGCCAAAATACTTCCATACCACAGACGTAGAGTTCTTTTTGGGGACTAAATCTAATTGTTCTACATCAGAATCTGACTCTCCGTCCATTATTGCTGTGTGTGCAGACTGTCAACAGTGTATTTTCCCGCTGCAAAGAAAGGGGGCGGGGACTTTGGGAACGTGTCAAACAACTCGGACTGAACGAAAGCAGAGGTGCGCTGACATTGTGAAATCGATCGGGCTTGATATATGGTGAAATTAAAATCAGTAGGTGAGGCTGGGGGAGCGGGAGGGTAAGAGGCTCTCCGTCCGCTGTCATAGCCCCCTGCGCCGCACACGGAGAGCCTCTTCCCCTCCCGCTATTTTTTTTTTCCAATTTTTTTTCTTCAATTTTTTTTTTTTTTTATCACGATAGGACGATATCTCTGAAAAAGCATATCGTGGAGACCTAATATCGTCACGACGATATATATCGTCATATCGCCCACCCCTAATTGCAATAGACATTTGCAAGGACAGCACCGGCAGGCAAGCAGCAGCAACATGAAACACAGCAGCAGGAACATGAACGCAGCAATAGCAAGCAGTGGCAGCAGGCAAGCAGCAGCGACGTAGAGGTAGCTGCAGCAATAGCAGCAGCAATAGCAGCAGCAAGCAATGCATGGAGAGAGATCTGGCAGGTTAAATAGAGCGGCATATTAAGGAGACTCTGTTTGGTTGGTTGTAGAGTGGCAAGGGGGCGTTATGTATGAATGCAGCATAAGTGCTCGAGTTGACTGCCTGAATTAGCTCGCAGGCTTCGCCCCATGACTGGCAACAATAATAGTTTGTAAAGGATTTATTGACGTGAATGTTTTGAACAGTGAACACTTAACACAGAAATCGTAACAGTTTAACCTGGGCGGGTCACAGTTTAATCTAGGCGGGTCACATTTTAACCTGGGCGGGTCCCAGTTCCCTGGGAGGATCGGTTTAACACAGATGAAGACTTCTCCATTCAACACGTCCTAACAGATCACCAGAGAACAATAAATCAAGTCGCTGTGTTGATGCCTGTTACATCACATTACAATAAGTATTCACTGTTCAAAACATTCACATCAATAAATCCTTTACTAACTATTATTGTTGTCAATCTTACATTTGTATCATATATTATTATCAATATGATGTCGGGTTGCATTTTTCTAGAAGTTGTTGACAATGTTAATGTAACAAAATGAGCTGTGGTGATCTGTTAGGACGTGATGATTCGTGGCGCACTCATAACGCACAGGGCATGATTGATTTTTACTGTTGGGACTCGGGTTTGAGTCCAGCATGAACTTTTTTGTCATTTTCATGTCGATGCGCATTGAATATTATGTTTGAATAGAGGATTCGTAATATTGTTTGCCGACACCAACAGTCACGACCAATCAGCATTTTAAAGTCTAAATATCCCCAATGACATTTCTGCTGCTATCTTTGCAAAACGAGGTAACAGACACATCTTATCTGGATGAGTGCTGCACAATACCGTTTTTATAAGGGATACATGTGTGGGTAGTCTTTCATATTAAACATGATCGCTGGTAGATAGCCACATAAATCGTAACACAATTTAACCTGGGCGGGTCACATTTTAACCTGGGCGGGTCCCAGTTCCTTGGGAGGATCACAGTTTAACACAGATGAAGACTTCTCCACGCTGCTTTCAAACTGTGAGTAAACACCGTGTGCTTCACTTGGAGGCTGTCTGAAGGTATACACAGATGGACTTGGACATTAACAACGATATTCCGTAATAAGTCTGGCAACAATAGCTGGTTTAAATGATTTATTCGAGCAACTCGTTTGTCTTGTTGTAGTCCTCGCTGTTCGCGTCCGGATATCGCCATCGTAATCACAACCTCACACACTGGTACTGGATGTGCATCAACGTGTTCCTAAGAAGCCAAATATACCAAAAGATGTATGTAAACGACAGAAGAAAGCGATCGAAATGTGTATTTCAGTCGAAAGCCACGCACCCCACGGAAACGAGTTGATCGGGAAACAAGTTGATCGGGAAACAAGTTAATCCGGAACACCAGCAGCCACAGCGTGCCTGGCAGCCACAGCGCTGTAGCTAAAATGCTGGTCACATCCTTATGTAAACGGCAATTTATCGAGCTCAGAAAAGTTATCGAGTCCATTTTTATTTATCGTACGATAAGTTAATTTATCGATTATCGCGACAGGCCTACTCTTACCTGTGAGGCCTCCTCCAAACATCATTATAACCAGACTGTATCATTAAAACTAGAAGTACCAGTTCTAGATCCTTGACTTTAGACAAACAATTCAAAAGACAACATGTATTTAAAGACCAATCTTTATTTGAATGTGCCTCTTAACCTGATATATTAGTTATACAGTATCGACGATCTAAAAAAACTGAGCAACTCAACAGTCAACTTTATATTTCTTATTGTCTAAAGCATTTATTATTTTCATTTTTCCCCTCTCATATTCAGTGTGGACGGATTGAGACAGTGTGGTGTCCAGAGAGCTGCAGAGACTTCAGGGAGAAACCTCCGTGTGATGAACGGATTGAGACAGCGTGGTGTCCAGAGAGCTGCAGAGACTTCAGGGAGAAACCTCCGTGTGATGAACGGATTGAGACAGCGTGGTGTCCAGAGAGCTGCAGAGATTTCAGGGAGAAACCTCCGTGTGATGGAGGTCCTGTCTGTTGGTTTGGAGAGGACTGAGGGTCTTTCCTCAGCGAGGAGGACCAGGCCTGATGGAGGAGCCCATGCTGGGCACAGCTGATACCAACTGCACAGGCCTAGTCTGTCACTTTATTTGATTAAATGTGTTTACTTATACATTTAATAGGTTTACACCTTCTGTCCATAATGTGCATTTTATTTAAAACATGTTTGATGAAGTTTTGGTTCACATTTCAATAAATTGTATTTGTATTTGCACTCCTTTCGTCCATTATTCTTACTGAAAATGTTAGATTACACATTCACACCTGACTGAAGATTGGCCCCATTTATTTGTGACGTTGCAAACTCTGCGGTACAAGGCACAGGTGATGTGAAGCTCATAAAGTGAGGCAAATATAAATAATCAGCTGATGGAGTGTATATGTGGAAATAGGTGCATTGGATCAGCTGACTGTGTTTTCACAATAAAAGTAGTTTCTTAGTGAATGTCCTGTACTGGTCTTAAAATCAGCTTTTAATGTTCCTCTTGGATGTTCTTCTTGACCCTCAGAGAAGGAGAAAACGTTGTGTCTTTTAGGCATATCCTTTCCTAACAAAAATGACAGGAAATATAAAACATATTATTGCAGAACAAGTGTGTTATTTATGAAAGCAGTGTGTTTGTGTGTTTAGGGGCTGTAGATATAATTATTTTGTAATTGTAATGTTTTTTTTCATTTCAACAGTGAGCTACAAAGACAATCAGATTATGAATGAACAGTATGAAGTTCATCAACATTGAAATATATGTTATTATCAAAATAATATTGAACTGTTATCAAAACGTAGTGCAACTGTAGAAGCTTGCTCTGCTGTCTCACTGAAAGAATAACTTTTACCACGTTTTAAAGACAATATTGAGAGATAAATAGTAGCAGTTCTCACTATGTGTTAAATATCAATACATTAAATTAGAAAGATGACAAAATCATATTGCTTGTTAACATCTAAATGTAACTTTTTGCATGGAAAAAACCCTCAACTTCATTGATATGTAGGTGATCTAGTATTTAGTATTGTTTAATGGAATGTATATCACTGTATTAAAGTCAATACTTCATTCATTTAAACCAATATCTTTATTGATTCTTTGTACAGTATGAAAAATAGAGTCTTTGTACCTGTGCTGAAGTTCACTGATGTGAGGAGTCCAGTTCTGTCTCTCACTCTCTGGTCCAGCCTGTCTGCATCACCTGGACACCTTAAACAAACAGATATACAGTGGGGCAAAAAAGTATTAAGTGTCATATCTGGCTTCTTCCAGATACAACATCTAAGGAGTGATACCTTAAATCATGTAAACAATTATCCTGGTGCTATAAACATAATAATGTGGCATGAAACTGCATTTTGGGGATATTAGATACAGTGGGGCAAAAAAGTATTTAGTCAGCCACCAATTGTGCAAGTTCTCCCACTTAAAAAGATGAGAGGCCTGTAATTTTCATCCTAGGTACACTTCAACTATGAGAGACAGAATGGGGGGAAATAATCCAGGAAATCACATTGTAGGATTTTTAATGAATTAATTGGTAAATTCCTCTGTAAAATAAGTATTTGGTCACCTACAAACAAACAAGATTTCTGGCTCTCACAGACCTGTAACTTCTTCTTTAAGAGCCTCCTCTGTCATCCACTCGTTAACTGTATTAATGGCACCTTTTTGAACTCGTTATCAGTATAAAAGACACCTGTACACAACCTCAAACAGTCACACTCCAAACTCCACTATGGCCAAGACCAAAGAGCTGTCAAAGGACACCAGAAACAAAACTGTAGACCTACACCAGGCTGGGAAGACTGAATCTGCAATAGGTAAGCAGCTTGGTGTGAAGAAATCAACTGTGGGAGCAATTATTAGAAAATGGAAGATATACAAAACCACTGATAATCTCCCTCGATCTGGGGCTCCAAACAAGATCTCACCCCGTGGGGTCAAAATGATCACAAGAACGGTGAGCAAAAATCCCAGAACCACACAGGGGGACCTAGTCAATGACCTGCAGAGAGCTGGTACCAAAGTAACAAAGGCTACCATCAGTAACACACTACGCCGCCAGGGACTCAAATCCTGCAGTGCCAGACGTGTCCCCCTGCTTAAGCCAGTACATGTCCAGGCCCGTCTGAAGTTTGCTAGAGAGCATTTAGATGATCCAGAAGAGGATTGGGAGAATGTCATATGGTCAGATGAAACCAAAATAGAACTTTTTGGTAAAAACTCAACTAGACGTGTTTGGAGGAGAAAGAATGCTGAGTTGCATCCAAAGAACACCTACTGTGAAACATGGGGGTGGAAACATCATGCTTTGGGGCTGTTTTTCTGCAAAGGGACCAGGACGACTGATCCGTGTAAAGGAAAGAATGAATGGGGCCATGTATTGTGTGATTTTGAGTGACAACCTCCTTCCATCAGCAAGGGCATTGAAGATGAAACGTGGCTGGGTCTTTCAGCATGACAATGATCCCAAACACACCGCCCGGGCAACGAAGGAGTGGCTTCGTAAGAAGCATTTCAAGGTCCTGGAGTGGCCTAGCCAGTCTCCAGATCTCAACCCCATAGAAAGTCTTTGGAGGGAGTTGAAAGTCCGTGTTGCCCAGCGACAGCCCCAAAACATCACTGCTCTAGAGGAGATCTGCATGGAGGAATGGGCCAAAATACCAGCAACAGTGTGTGAAAACCTTGTGAAGACTTACAGAAAACGTTTGACCTCTGTCATTGCCAACAAAGGGTATATAACAAAGTATTGAGATTAACTTTTGTTATTGACCAAATACTTATTTTACACCATAATTTGCAAATAAATTCTTTAAAAATCCTACAATGTGATTTCCTGGATTCTTTCCCTCCATTCTGTCTCTCATAGTTGAGGTATACCTAGGATGAAAATTACAGGCCTCTCTCATCTTTTTAAGTGGGAGAACTTGCACAATTGGTGGCTGACTAAATACTTTTTTGCCCCACTGTATATGTAAAGTACCATGTGTACAAACAATACAACTTATTCTCTTCTGTTGAACATGTTGGATTGTGTATTGTCCGAGTCAGGGTCCTTTGCGCCATAGTTTATGGGCGCTGTATGCAATATAGGCGTAGTTCTGTTAAGATAAGATAATAGGATGTACTTTGTTGATCCAATATCGAGAAATTGTTTTGTTATGAAATTTAAATAAAACATTTTTTTTAATTTATTTATTTTAAAATTTAGATTAAAAAATGTGGCGCCCCCCATAGGTTATGCGCCCTTAGCATTCACCTATACTGCCTATGCCAAGGGCCGGCCCTGAGACAACCTCACATATAACTTGACTGATCCCTGATTTCTATTTCAATTCCCCCTTAATATCAACTGAGAAACTTGATTTTAGGAAGAAGGAAGGAAATAACTTGATAATTGTACTTGATACAATACATGTTGTGGCTCTGAACAATGGCTGGCTCCTGCAGTGTTGTTGTGTTTACTTGGCTCAAATTGAGTTTGTTGTAGTTCCTGCATGTTGTTATTGTCACATGTTATTTTACCCTTGTTGTTCTCACAAAGATCTCTGTGCACACTCTCTCTCACACACTCACACACACACACACACACACACACACACACACACACACACACACACACACACACACACACACACACACACACACACACACACACACACACACACACACACACACCACACACACACACACACACACACACACACACACACACACACACACACACACACACACACACACACACACACACACACACAATAAAAAAAGATTTTCCACACTTTGTAATCCACTGTTCAGCTATTGTATTTAAAAAACACTTGACATCTTTGAATCATTCCATAAAAAGGTCATTGATTTCAAGTCCACTGCTTTAAAAAATATATATACAGTACCAAAAACAAAATAAAAAAGAATAAAAACCAATTTACAGAGTGGTTCGTCAAAGCTCGGGATTGGTTAAAAAGCACAACTGGGAGGACTGCATTTACAAATTCACATGGAGGAACTTGTCCCCATCATGAGCAGAGTTCATGACAACAACACAGGGAACATACAGTAGGCTGTCACTATCACAGAAACAATAAAGACTTTAGTGGGCAAAGGACGGCAGGAGGAGAGCGACGGCAGCATCAACTTTTATCATCGCACAGTGAATGCAAAAACAAAACAAATATGTGCTGAAATATTATAAATACATAATTTGCATAAATAAAGTTAATGGTTAAAAAGATAAAACACAAGAGTTGTTAGGCAAGGCTGCTTTGGCACATTTGTGTACTTTCAGTACAGTACAGTGATAATTAGGTCCAAATAACTGCTCACCTGTTAAACTGCATCTCATGCCAGTTGTGCATTGCATTTGGCAGCTCAAACTTCAAGCTAAATCCCAGAATATCCCTCTCAGAGGCTCGTTCACAGCATTTCAAATGTTCAAATTGTGTCACTTATGGAATCGCTATGATCAGGGTTAGGTTTTTCCACAGTGGATAGAGGTCCCCATTTGATTTATTCTATTAAAAATGTCAACGGCATTTTGAATAAGGCTTTCTTACTTCTGGAACAGTTCTGTTTTTGCTTCATCTCTGTGTGAAAGCCAACACTACGATAGCTACATAGAACTACATGGTATTGCTTCGGACCCTCACCTCACTCAAGGCCATCCTTACCTAATTACTTTTGTTTTGGAACAACTAACTTTCCAACTTTTGGAACTGCAGGTATGAAAAAGGACAACATATTTTCCTGTCATGATCCTTCAGCCTCCTGTTTCCTCAACACTTTAACTCAGCCCAGCGAACCAGTTGCTGATATTCCATAGGTCTTATTTTATTTTGGTGCACAATTGCCATTTTAAACGCTGGTGTGAACAAGCCTTTATCGTGTCCAAACGTACTTTCCAAGCTTCTCAGTGTTTTTGTGTTGTTTTAAAGTGCAGCTGTGCAATTTCTATGAAAGAGAAGCGTCAAAGCTCTTTCTGTTAAACTCTAGCGAGCAGTGCAGTATGTCAGTATATAGATCTTTTTCAACGCATTGTAGTTTTCTTCTTCTCTGTATTACTACTAATAAATGCAAGCCAATTAGTGGTCATACATCTCTTTTACATGTGTCCAAGAGATAATCAAAAATACACATGTGCTTACTGTATCTGTTTGCTGCTGTACTGTGACCTGGTATTCACATTATACTAATATTAGTAATTTTAGATACTCTTGGCTTAAAATATAACATATGATATGACATGATTTGGCTTTCACTATGACTGGCCTGGAGATCTCATACAGTATACCATAGCTTTATCTCTGGGGGGGAATCAAGCAGTGTAACTATCTTCCAGTAATGGGGAAAGAACAGAAAAAGTGGATTGATATAAAAACCTTTTTTTCATAAATGCTTCATACACATGGCATACAATAACACGTGTGTCAGTTTCATGTCTTTTTCCATCAGACTTACATTCTGAAAAGTCATTTGAAATGATTGAACATAGTATTCAGTTATCTGTAGAATCGTTGTGAACAACTTGAGTGGCATTGCAACCTGTTCTCAGTCCCAACTAGTCAAATACGAACGCTTGTAAATTCAACAATTGTACTAAATTGCTACTTATATAACCTCTTTTTAAACGTGCAGGGCAATACGATTGACTTAAACAGGTAGTAAACTTGACGTCACGTATGTGATCTAAGTTAAATACATTACGTTATTACTAGGCCACACAACTACTTGGCTAGGTTTAGGAAAAGATCATTGTTCGACTTAAAATAAAGTACTTTTGTTACATAAGTACACGATGTTACTACTTTGTTATAATGGTTGGAGTCATATATCATATAAGTAATGTACGTAAGTTAAGTAAGTAATGTGGGTTACATAAGTATAAAACAAGTGCATTTTGACAACATTTCTGTTAAGCCTTGGAAATGAACAGCAGTGTTTTGGGTGACAGTTCTGTGTTTGTTTGACCAATCCACCCCTTCTAAACAAGGACGTTTTCACTTTTCACACGGGGCCTACTGACTTCCTCGCACGGAGCCTTGCTACACAGACTACCTGTTGCTTTAAGAATCTATTTGAAGTTTCTATTAATTACTCACAACCCAAGAGAGACCTCGCCCCAGTTATTCATCTGACCTCCTGTTGCTTTACATCCCTTCCCGCAGCCTGAGATCCTCAGAAGCGCCGCTCCGGGTCGATCAAGGTCCAAACAGGAGACAGAGCCTCTGACGGCCTGCCTGAGGAGATCAGAGCTGAAATCTCTGTCACGTCCTTTTAATCACTTTTTAGAATCCTCTTTTTTTAGAATTTACATTTATTCTGTTTTTGTTTAGGTATGTTTCAGTTGCTGGTTTTTAGTTTATTTCATTCTCTGTGTGCATAAATGTGTTCTGTTTTTATGTGAAAGTACATTAATAACATTTTGTAATGATAATTATTATAATACCTCCTTCGATCGTTTTATCATTTCTTTGGCCACTACATGCAGCCCTGCACATGCAAAACTGACGCTAGGGGAGTAAGAGAAGCCTCATAGTTTTATTCCTTAGGCCGTTTACCAAGCTGTCGTATTTGACAAAGTAGGAGTGAGAACGCTCATAAGTACATACACAAGTACATACACAAGTTTTGTCAAAGAAAAACATTTTCTTTCAAGAGAGCAGCATGTTAGAACTAACTGTGTGTGTGTGTGTGTGTCAGAGTTCCTGTTAGCCGGTAAAATATGCTGAAGACCGGTAAATCTAAATCTCTCCGGTCAAAGTTTCCGTTCAAAATAATTTCCACTTAGCGCAATACCACATCAGTTGCGCAACTTGCACCATTTATGTGACAGACAAAAGAGTATGTGACAGACAAGAATAGTCAATTCTAATGTCTAACACTTAATGTGGAGAAAGAGATGTCCTGTATGGGTTGATTGTGCGTTGATCTGTTGGTAATGCCTCGGGGTTCCGGTGGGCATGTAAACAAATGCATAATGCTGCGCTATACTTTGCGGCCTCACCCAGTTGCATAGCGACGCTTATTGTTTAGGTGTCTTTTAATAAGCAGGTAGTCCTATCATTAGCTAGAACTAGCTGGATCTGATCGATATGGACATAAACGCGAGTGAAGTCTAATCTGACGGGAGAGAGAGATCAGCTGCTGCTGACGAGTCGACACGCAGCTCTGCATAATCACATGCAGCGGTGAGCGGACAAAACACACTTCAGGTTAGAATATCACACGTAGCTATTTTAATGACCTCTCAAACTACCGTAACTAGTTATAGATATGTTTAGTTTTACTGTCGGGTCACTCATTACTGATCCGCGAGCTGCATGATACTGACGGGCTGTCAGGAGAGGGAGAGAGCGCTCCGTTTATTATTCCAGTGTTATTGTAAATTACTGTTCACTTTTGAATAATGTAGTTAATCTACTATAATTAGTTTGTTTAATATCGAATCATTTGTTTTAAAGCTCAATAAATAACAAAGACCTTTGACCGGCACTTTTCTCATTTTGTCCGGAAGATTTAAACTTTAACGGACATGTTGACCGGCGAAAAAATATTCTAACGGGAATGGGTGTGTGTGTGTGTGTGTGTGTGTGTGTGTGTGTGTGTGTGTGTGTGTGTGTGTGTGTGTGTGTGTGTGTGTGTGTGTGTGTGTGTGTTTGTGTGTGAGAGAGAGAGAGAGAGAGATGTGCATGAAGGCATCCTGGGGCTGTTTGTGGTTTGTGTGTCTGTATTTCAGTTATCTTGTACATTTGTGTGATTCCATGTGTTTGCATGCACATGTGTATGTTGGGGGGGTGACATTATGGCTGAGAGAAGGCTGTTGGTACAAAGGAAGCACCCCCCATCACCACCCAAACACACGTTCACAAACTGCAGAACCTAGAAACACACAAGCATACACACAGTCAGGCAGAGACGCAGGGGTGGGGGGGGCTCTGAGGTCATAACCTGGCGTGCAGGTTGACAATGACGCCGTCTTCAGGCAGGTCTTTGACAGGCAGGTCACTCAGCTCCCCCCCCCCGTGGTCCGTGCTCTCACAGCTGCTCTGAGGCGACTCAGGGGGGGGGCTGGTACAGGATGCTGGCTAACAAGAAGAAGATTATCCCTAAAACCTAAAGACAGAGAGCAGATGATAGAAGTGATGAGGGGAAGCCAGATGAATGGTACACAGAAACTGATTCACTTACATTTTAGGAAGCACATTATTTGCTTTTTTACCGAAAAAGCCCACAGGTGATTAGCTTAGCAGTCCCTAAAGCACAATGCATTGTTATTGACTTGGAGGTGAGCAGATATACTGTATTTTACCTCACATGCAACTTGTACAAATACAAAAAAGTTGGTTGAATGTAAAATGGCATGTAGCTATGTAAATTACCTTATAGATAATTCCAGCTATCAGTGTGTACTGGCTCATGGCTGAGTTGTGATATAGGTAGCAGGAGCCCTGCTCGCCACACCTGTCCTGCCACAGCAAGCAGGAGATGTCGATCACAGTGCCAAAGGCTATGGGTCCTGGGATACCACCTGTGGGGAGACAACAGCACAGATTCAATCTCATGGCTTCTGGGTTGAAAGAAAGTAGAGAGAATTCTAACATTTAGATGGGATTCTTTTACAGTAAAAGGAACTTAAGGAAAAAGAGGACCTACCTAAGGTGCGCACTACGATCCACTGGATTCCCAGTCCAAAGGATCTCTGGCTGTCCGGCACACACCTACACAAAACATTTAGTCAGACACACTGGTATCATGGATCTAAAACTTCATTACAATCAAGTTGATTAACAGTTTGAAACAGCAGCGTTTCCCCAAAAAAATAGAAGGGCTCTGAGGCTCCTTGAGAACATGCAATGACAGTGATTGAATCTAAGATTCAGGCTCTATTTTCCCAATGTCCTTCTTCAAAGAAACTAAATATATACAGTACCAGTCAAAAGTTTGGACACACCTTCTCATTCTGAGGTTTTTAAATTTGTTTTACATTTTTTACATTGTAGATTAATAACAAAACTATAAAAGAACACATTATGGAATTATGTAGTATGACGACCTCATGAAGCTGACTGAGGGAAGCCAAGAGTGTGCAAAGCTGTCATCAAGGCAAAAGGGGGCTACTTTGAAGAATCTAAAATATAAATCATATTCTGGTTTGTTTTACACTTTTTTGTTTACTACGTAGTTCCATATGTGTTCTTTCATAGTTTTGATGTCTTCAGTATTAATCTACAATGTACAAACAATTAAATAAATAAAAACCTTGGAATGAGAAAGTGTGTCCAAACTTTTGACTGGTACTATACATATACATGTAGTTTAATCAAATACCACTGTGGTCCCTCTGAGTGTTCTGAAAGTGAAGTAAGTGTCAGTACGTTTTTTTTCTGTTAGTTTACAAAAGCAAACTGAACAGTTTCAGAATATACAGTACAAGCAATCTTCTTCCTCTATGGCTTCACTGTGGCGCCCACCTGAGCGTGGCGGTGAGTGCTGGGATGCTACAGAGGAAGGTGAAGGAGATGATGATGAAGAGGAAGGAGAGGAAGGCTGGCATGTGGTGGCAGGAGCTTACACACTTCCCTCTCAGAGCCAAGCCCTCCTCGGCCCTCGACACATTTCCCACCACACAGCTGCATCCTGAGTACACCTGAATCACACACACACACACACACACACACACACACACACACACACACACACACACCACACACACACACACACACACACACACACACACACACACACACACACACACACACACACACACACACACACACACACACACACACACACACACACACACACACACACACACACACACACACACACACACACACACACACACACACACACACACACACACACAATTAGTTCTAATATGCTGCTCTCTTGAAAGAAAGAAATATTCTTGTGTACAATACACAGTGCATATACACATACTGAAGCACTCGTCTATAAAATGAGAGCATCAGCTCAATTTGATTCTTATTTTCTCATAGATCCAAAGTCCATATGTTTTAAGAAACACTTCTTTACTTTTTTTTGTTGAAATAATGTGCACAGATATAAAGCAATGTTTCCAACATCTCCTCAGATTATTCTTAAAAGTGCACAATGTGTTATATTCTGTCTCTTGGGGACACTCAGTTAAACACAAACTAAAGACTCATTGGAATGGCATCCTGAAGCAGCATTGTAGTCAGCTTCTTCAGTGGTCATGAAAATTGTTGCAATAATGCTAGCTCAAAACTCAAACAGTATATAACATATGTATAGTTGTAAAGACATATTGTAAAATACAGGTCATACAGCACCATTAACTGAAAGCTCATTGGGACCCAGGGTTCATTTGCTAACAGCTCACTGCTGCTGCCTATCAATCATGAGTTAAGGGAAAAATAACCAGCCACTAATTTATGCTTCATGCACACAGCATATCCTCACTGTGTTTAAAACTGAGATCAGACTGATAACCTGGATAATGCTATGTGAAAGTGTCCCCTCAACTGAGTTTCAGTTAACTGAAAAATAAATTGCTTTGTGGTATTGCCTCAAAAAGGTTTGGGATCAGAGAACTCAACATGGGGTTAAACAGTTATAGTACCAGGTACATAACCAAGAGCCTATGAAATTGTCATATTAACAAAATGTTAACTGAAACAAAAGGGAAAAAATAAAACCGGGAATTTCACTAATTAGCTTTAACTAAAGCAAAAACAATCACCAAATAGACCTGCAGCCTCACAGCAGGCCTCCAACTCCTCTCTTACACTGCACACTGCAGCTTTTCAAAAATATTGAAAATCTTGGAGCTGGGCGTGTCTGATTTTTTGCGAGCAACAACCAATCACATGAATATCCCACCCCCGACATACAAAGCAAAAAACCCCGGTTCTTCTCCACTATTGCCAGTGCTATTTTATGCTACATTCCATGCTGGCTAATGATACTGTCTATGCTTGCTAGCAACGAAGTAAACTAGCAACGAAGTAAACTAGCAACGAAGTAAACTGGATATAAAACGAAGTAAACTGGATATAAAATCCCCAAACAAGCGAAAATCTACCAGTTTCACACACTGCCTCTGCCACCTCCCTCCATGCCTGGTTCCTCCGGTTTGTATCCCGGTAAGTAAATAGGGACTGGTCATAAAGAATCGGGTGGTTTTCTACCGCAATAACTAACTTCTCCTCCATTTTCCGGAATAAATCAAATGAATTGCGGTCTGGTTCTCCCTGCTTACACGCGGTTTGATTGGCTAGCGCTTCTACTGTCAGATTTGCATAAACGGGATTTGATTGGCTGACGCTTCCAGCTCAGCTTCAAAAGTAGAACATTGCTCAACTTTTAAATCCTGGAAATCCTGGAAATCTTCGCTTCGCGACAATGCAGTTCGGCGAAAAGCGAGGCAAAGTGACGTCATCCCCATTCAAAGTCAATGGGCAGAGAAGCGTTGGAAGCGTTGGAAGATTTGTTTAAAGCTGCAGTGTGGACGTACCGTACATCATTGATCCGGTGAAAAGCTTTTTATCTTCTCAGCTAACTGGAAACCACCAACTGCCCAGGTAAGTATAGGGGGAGCTAGACCAAGCATGCGTTCACATCATACACGATTCATACAAGATCTCGTTGTTACTGCTGAATATATACTTCTATATGTATATGGGCACCCATTTCCACCAATGAGGACTACAAATATGACAGAATATCTTTAATTGCAACACTTTCTCACCTATCTTCCTTCATCTTAAGTTTTATATATTTGATCCCTATAATTATAACCAGGACCACACGTGTGTACATCCTAAAAACGCATTGGCTATGTGTATTTAATCTACATATACATCTGAGTAACATAACAAATCATTAAATTATAAAGGTTATCATTTCATGAGTAGCAAGTCTAACACAAGGCTATTGTCCTTGGAATGATGTACATGTATCTTTTATTTCTTTTCTTAAAAACCTTAAGTCATTTAAATGTCTCAGTCAAGCCCTGTGATGCACAATTCTGTATTTTCAGTTTCTACAACTGTAGGTCATTTACATGCACTACTGCTTGTTGGCACCTTGTTCTGGGAAGCTTACCACATGTTTTGAGACACAGTAAGATTAGTTTCTGCTAACAGGAAATCCTGAGCATATGAAACAGGAGGAGGAAATGCTGTCCCCCTGACCAGCTTCTCCATGTTCTGTGTACATGTTTCCAGTGTGTGGAGTGTACCTGTTTCCAGTGTGTGAAGTGTACCTGTTTCCAGTGTGTGAAGTGTACCTGTTTCCAGTGTGTGGAGTGTACCTGTTTCCAGTGTGTGAAGTGTACCTGTTTCCAGTGTGTGGAGTGTACCTGTTTCCAGTGTGTGTGCAGAGTGTACCTGTTTCCAGTGTGTGGAGTGTACCTGTTTCCAGTGTGTGTGCGGAGTGTACCTGTTTCCAGTGTGTGGAGTGTACCTGTTTCCAGTGTGTGTGTGTGGAGTGTACCTGTTTCCAGTGTGTGTGTGGAGTGTACCTGTTTTCAGTGTGTGTGTGGAGTGTACCTGTTTCCAGTGTGTGTGTGGAGTGTACCTGTTTCCAGTGTGTGTGTGGAGTGTACCTGTTTCCAGTGTGTGGAGTGTACCTGTTTCCAGTGTGTGTGTGGAGTGTACCTGTTTCCAGTGTGTGTGTGGAGTGTACCTGTTTCCAGTGTGTGGAGTGTACCTGTTTCCAGTGTGTGTGTGGAGTGTACCTGTTTCCAGTGTGTGTGTGGAGTGTACCTGTTTCCAGTGTGTGGAGTGTACCTGTTTCCAGTGTGTGAAGTGTACCTGTTTCCAGTGTGTGAAGTGTACCTGTTTCCAGTGTGTGGAGTGTACCTGTTTCCAGTGTGTGGAGTGTACCTGTTTCCAGTGTGTGTGCGGAGTGTACCTGTTTCCAGTGTGTGAAGTGTACCTGTTTCCAGTGTGTGGAGTGTACCTGTTTCCAGTGTGTGCAGTGTACCTGTTTCCAGTGTGTGGAGTGTACCTGTTTCCAGTGTGTGTGTGGAGTGTACCTGTTTCCAGTGTGTGTGTGGAGTGTACCTGTTTCCAGTGTGTGGAGTGTACCTGTTTCCAGTGTGTGTGTGGAGTGTACCTGTTTCCAGTGTGTGTGTGGAGTGTACCTGTTTCCAGTGTGTGTGTGGAGTGTACCTGTTTCCAGTGTGTGTGTGGAGTGTACCTGTTTCCGGTGTGTGTGTGTGTGGAGTGTACCTGTTTCCAGTGTGTGTGTGGAGTGTACCTGTTTCCAGTGTGTGTGTGGAGTGTACCTGTTTCCAGTGTGTGTGTGGAGTGTACCCGTTTCCAGTGTGTGGAGTGTACCTGTTTCCAGTGTGTGTGTGGAGTGTAGTTGTTTCCAGTGTGTGGAGTGTACCTGTTTCCAGTGTGTGAAGTGTACCTGTTTCCAGTGTGTGAAGTGTACCTGTTTCCAGTGTGTGGAGTGTACCTGTTTCCAGTGTGTGAAGTGTACCTGTTTCCAGTGTGTGGAGTGTACCTGTTTCCAGTGTGTGAAGTGTACCTGTTTCCAGTGTGTGGAGTGTACATGTTTCCAGTGTGTGTGCAGAGTGTACCTGTTTCCAGTGTGTGGAGTGTACCTGTTTCCAGTGTGTGTGTGGAGTGTACCTGTTTCCAGTGTGTGTGTGGAGTGTGCCTGTTTCCAGTGTGTGGAGTGTACCTATTTCCAGTGTGTGTGTGGAGTGTACCTGTTTCCAGTGTGTGTGTGGAGTGTACCTGTTTCCAGTGTGTGTGTGGAGTGTACCTGTTTCCAGTGTGTGTGTGTGGAGTAGTGCTGTAGCGACGCGTCGACTTCAAAATATCGTCGACGACATATTTCCGCGTCAACGCGTCGCTACACACACGTGGGTCACCCAAAGCAACAAGCAGTTCGCAATCGCACTTCAAACACAATGGAGACTGAAACGGCTACCACCTCCTCCTCACAGGATTGCGCACGAAGCCCCCTAACGAAAACATCTCGCCCTAGGTCTTCAAAAGCATGGGAATATTTTAAAGTTAGTCCAAAACGCAAAGATATTTATATATTTATATCTCACTGAGACTGCTGCATAGCCTAGCAGAAGCAGCAGCTAGCTGTGGTGGCTACCATTAGCAGCTAGCATTTGCTCTCCGATTTTTTACATAAAATGGAATTATGGATTATAAATTCAATCATTTTTTTTATACATAGACGTTAAAAACCTATGGATTAACCGATTCAGCCGCGTTTTTTCTCATTTTAATGCCATTGAACACGTCTTTTGATCAGATTGACAGCTACGGTGGTGAGACGATCTCCCTAGAAGCTCTGTGAAGGTACGTGTTGTGATGACTGTCGCGAGTCCGGATCACTCAGTGATGATACTATATACCTACATAATCTGTGGAGTCTCAGCTTTAATCGGATATATTGTATGTGCAGCTACGATAAGCAATAAGGGTACTTTTTATCTTGAGTTCTGTGCCAATGTCCGTTAGCATTTTTCGCTCAGGGGTCATTTAGATGCTTCTTATGAGACTTGTGTTTTGTTTTGGTAAACATGGTTTGTATCGTCAATTAGCTGAGATTATTTCCGTTAATCTGGTATAACACATTAATAGGTTCTTAAATATTAAGATCCCCTGAGACACAGTATCGTGAAAAAAATTGTTTTTACATTACGTTTTTTATGAATTGAACAACAGAAAAATAATCGTTAGATTAGTCGACTAATCGATCAAATAATCGCCCGATTAATCGTTTTCAAAATAATCGTTTCCCCCGAGCACTAGTGTGAAGTGTACCTGTTTCCAGTGTGTGTGTGGAGTGTACCTGTTTTCAGTGTGTGTGGAGTGTACCTGTTTCCAGTGTGTGGAGTGTACCTGTTTCCAGTGTGTGTGTGGAGTGTACCTGTTTCCAGTGTGTGGAGTGTACCTGTTTCCAGTGTGTGTGTGGAGTGTACCTGTTTCCAGTGTGTGTGTAGAGTGTACCTGTTTCCAGTGTGTGTGTGGAGTGTACCTGTTTCCAGTGTGTGTGTGGAGTGTACCTGTTTCCAGTGTGTGTGTGGAGTGTACCTGTTTCCAGTGTGTGGAGTGTACCTGTTTCCAGTGTGTGTGTGGAGTGTACCTGTTTCCAGTGTGTGGAGTGTACCTGTTTCCAGTGTGTGGAGTGTACCTGTTTCCAGTGTGTGGAGTGTACCTGTTTCCAGTGTGTGGAGTGTACCTGTTTGCCTGTGAGGCGGTCGGTGTGGTTGACGGAGCTGCACCCAGCGTGGCAGGGGGAGTAGTACATCACACCGTCTGCCCCACACACCGGGTTGTAAAGCTCTCTGACACAACCACAGCCGGCATTACAGCCCACCGTCAGGGTCTCCTCCAAAGAGCTGCAGGCAGAGGGAAGACAGCAATGAGATGAAAGGAAGGAAGGCTATGATTAAAACACATTTTAGTCAAAAGAGTAATTAACAGGAACACTTCCCACCTGTTCCTGAGGTGCAGCTGGCTGGGCTCGTCGTACAAGTCTCTGTACTGGTCCAGCTGGTGTTTCTCCATCAGGTCGTACTTGTATGGTGCTGTGACACCGGCCATTGGCACGTTGGGGCAGTGGATGAGGAAGATGAAGATGGCGAGGAGACTTACAATGGCACACACAATGCAGAAACGGATGATGCCTCGACAGCGCAGGTTCATTCTCTTTACTATGTAGCCGCCCAGGAAGGTGCCCCCCCCGCCTGCTGGTACCACCATGTATCCTGGGAAGACAAATACACTTTCAGTAATGCTGCATTGCTGTAAATATAGCGTCCAAAGGACTCATGCTTTTATCCATTATAGTAGAGCTTTTGACATGATAGTGATGATCATAGAAAGATCCTTCACCACCATCAAGTCATCAAGTGTACTTGTAGACCTCATGTATTACAATTAGGTAAATTGTATTAAAAATATACTGCGCAGATTAATGCTCCCTCTCCTGTCATTGTGGATACGTTATTGGCTCTCCTGCAGCTGAAGATTTGAGTCTACATTTCCATTACACTAAAGATACATTATCAGATTAAAGGTGTCTAAGGATTGGCCAGTGTTGCCATGCAATAGTTTTTGCCCTTTTATCCAAAACTCCAATAGACTTGAATGATGCGTCGTCTGATTTTACCCTTGGTCACTCACCGAACCATGTTGCAGCTTCTGATGCACTGAGGTTGAACTGAGACTCCAGGAACTTTGGACCAAAGGTGGACATGCCTGCGATGAGGGTGGCCTCCGTGGCCCCGGCCAGGCACAGGAACAGGAAGGGGGGGTTCTTTAAGAGGAGCAGCACGGACCTGGAGAGAGAAAGAGAGGAGTGGTGAGTCTAATAAACGTAATTTTCCTTTTTAATTAAAGCCGGCTGTGCTAATCTCAACAGCCTGGAGACGCTCCTACTGCAGATCAACATGGCACGGGATATTTCCTCTTGTTACATAATGTGCCATGATTATCGCCTACTTGTGAGTGTAATCCTCAGTGCTCCAGCGGTGACATCACACTTTGGCTGCTGCAATTTATTTTCTCTATGTTTATTATTTTGTTGGAAAGATTGTTTCAACCACCACATAATCAACAACATAATAACTGTTACCTGCCTGCCTATTTACATCAGTCGTAATTGTCCAGATTTTAAATGGTTAGAATGTTTGCAGCACGGGGCCAGAAAACATACAATAACTCATAATGTCTAATATATGGACATTTGGCTTCATAGACAAAGCATTCATCAACAAGATGTTTCCTCCTCACCAGTTTCTAATTTAAATTGTGACTGACCTGTTCAAACGCGCCAAAAACACTTCCACAAGGAGAAACGAGCTGCAGCTTCAAAAGTGATGCAAATAAAAAATAACAAATGTGCCAAAACTCATGCAAATGAAGCAAAATCTTCACCAACTTTAGAACATGTGTAGCATTTAGAGAACATACACCAACATGAGGAAACATGCGAGGGTTTACCTAAAGCGTTGCATAAACGAAACGCTGCAAATACAGAACGCTGCAAGAAGCTGAAAACCCAACGGAAACTAGGGGACACTAAAAAGTGACGCACACAGCTGGGACCGGAGCACTTGTTGATTATTAAATTGGCCAACAATCACTATCATTGTCACAGTTGCATCCTTTCTGAAGCTGCATGCGTGTTCACCCCTGTCAGCCACCATACACTTAAATATCCTCCTCCTTTCTTAATATCTAGGTTCTTTCTCTGAATATTTTCCATGTAATACTTTTGTGATTTATTGCACAAAAACAGCTCTTCATGTGAATGCTCTTGGCCATTATTACAACCCATACATGCCCACACACATTATGGTGATGTCATGTCTGTCTACAGTATAAACCACTCCTCCCCTAATGTCCTCTTCTTATTCAGTAAATGCCTAACCTTGGCATGTCTTTGACTGATTTTCCAAACTGAGGGTCTGCGGCTGTGGTGTGGCTGCCATCCTTCAGCTGGTGGGCTTCAGAAACCCGCATGGCCACGTACTCCTGAGAGCCTGCAGGGAGAGGAAGAGAAAATAAGACTGAGTGACAAATGACATTCCCATACAAAAGAGATCGTGTGTGTGTGTGTGTGTGTGTGTGTGTGTGTGTGTGTGTGTGTGTGTGTGTGTGTGTGTGTGTGTGTGTTGTACCAGGAAGCTGTCGTGGGTAGCCCAGGATGGGGAATGCTACCAGCAGAGCTGCTGCTCCTCCTGCCAGGAATCCAATCCACCAGGCCCCCACCCACAGAGGGTTATCTGGAGTCATCTCTGTCCTGTGAAAAAACAAAACACACACACAGACACATTATTACATCAAATGCTGTGAAATTTATATTATATATTTTATATATTCTTCACATTTCTAGTCTGTTAATAGTGTAGTTTTTTCTATTCCAGCCTGTTCTGTGTGAGATTCTTGTATTGCAAAAACTTTGTTTGAAAACCAACTGCATACTTTCTCTGGTTAACACTTTACACTACACTGGCATAATACCCCACAATGCAATGTGGTAGTGATGACAACTGTCATGACTTTTTCTGTTCGGTACTGCTTTTAGTTCTGCTGTCTTATAGCTTTATCTGTATGTTGGTGTTTTCTTTTGATACTATGTTGACAGTTTGAAATAAAGATTTAAATGTTTTTAATTCAAATAACATTATTGAAAATAACGTTATTACACGGCCTAAAAAACCTTATAATTCCTCCATCAGAAAACACCATGGAATACTTTTTGAAAATACATTTTCATATTTTTGAACAGCACAGAACTGTATAGAAAAGAAAAAGAGAACAGGAAAACAGCACAAGAGAAGGAAGAGGTTAAAAGGGAGAGAACTAGAGGACAGAGAAATCAACAAAAGAAGACAGAAAAGAAGGAAACACTTAAAGGAACAGAAGACGAAGACAGACAGGAAGTAAACAGTAAAAGGAACGGCAGAAGAAGACAGACAGGAAGTAAACACTAAAAGGAACGGCAGAAGAAGACAGACAGGAAGTAAACACTAAAGGGAACAGCAGAAGACAGACAGACAGACAGACAGACAGGAAGTAAACACTAAAGGGAACAGCAGAAGACAGACATACAGACAGGAAGTAAACACTAAAGGGAACAGCAGAAGACAGACAGACAGGAAGTAAACACTAAAGGGAACAGCAGAAGACAGACAGACAGGAAGTAAACACTAAAGGGAACAGCAGAAGACAGACAGACAAGGGTTGCGGTTATATTATCAATTTAGCTTAGGAAGGTTCCTAACGGAGTGAAATGACCTGGCAGTACCTCAGTAGCAGCCATGATAAGAGCTGTTCAGATTCTCTAGATGATAGGAAAGGAGCTTCAATACTTCCTTTATAACCTTTATAATTGGGATAATATGCAGCAAGCCAGTCATTATAGCCCGAGGAACCAATCACCATCGCTGCCTACTATCCCTTACTTAATGTACTCTAGTTACTCTGTAGTTTGATCTCTTCATGCATTTTCCACTTTAGACTGTTCTATTCTAATATGCATATGTTTGTTCATTCTAATGAGTTCTAATCCTATCATCCAAAGCAGACTCACTTCAGGTGGATCTCAGTGTACATGTTGAGGAAGTATCCCCCCAACAGGTAGCCCGCTGCTGGGCCCACAATGGCTGCCGTGTAGAAGATCCCTAGAGAGAAAGAGAGAGAGTCAGAATACTGACTGTCTACTTCCTGTTTCCTACAGGTCAAAAGAGCCCCATTGTTCTTTGCTGAGTTTCTGAGTTTGTTCTCAAAGTGAGTGTTTTATGAGAAAGAAGGAACTTGATGTGAGCATGTGATTAGGTGAGAGGATTTCCTCGATGGGTTACACTGTCCTCTGATTCTGTTTGAAATGCACAAAGTGATATTTTGGAAGAGTGGATGTTGAATGGTGAATATTACAAAACTCAAGAGCCTGAAACCCTCAAAAATGAAAGTGCCAACACTAAAACTCTGTAAAAGGTAACACAACAATGAGCATCATAGACGATGACTAGGATGTGACATTTGAAGCAGATTTACTGACTCTATCTCTGTGTTTAGCAAAAAGGCACTTCACTTGAAATGTTTGGCTCTATGAAACCTGATGTACTTATATGATTCTGTTTTCTTCAAGGTTGTGTCTTCCTGGTCGAATGTACTTATTGTAAGTCGCTTTGGATAAAAGCGTCAGCTAAATGCAATGTAATGTAATGTAACATCTACAATACAATCTTTATCTGTTTTCAATTCTCAGTAATAGAGCTAATAAAAGTGCTGCGATTGACTTCTGGATCGGTACTGTGCCGTTAGAGAGAAACAAGTGTTACTATAGAAGGAAAGTGTTGAACATATTCATTTAATTTACAACATAAAATGCTTTGATTCAAATTGGACGCCATGAAAACAGGAGGAAAAAAGTGTGATGAAACCCGTTTTGATGTGTTGGAATTTCTATAATCATGCTCAAACTTAGATACCATTAATGCCACAACAGACTGAAACTGCTACAGAACATGCTTCTATTACAAAAAGATCAAGTTGGGAATTTTCACAAGACCTGCAATATGCATGTGTGCTTATTATTCTATGAAATCATAGCGCTTTAAAAAAACTAAAATAAACATCCGGTAACAGAAAAGTCAGCTTCACAAGTCTTATGGCGCATTTCCACTACAGTGCGGAGCTAGCTTTAAGCGTGCCGAGCCGTGCGGGGCCCGTTTTTGGTTGCGTTTCCACTTGGCCTAGTACCGGCTAGCGGGTACTATTTCCAGATTTTCTGGCCCCATAAAATCGAGGTTCTTTCCGCAGGGCCGTGGGAAGTAGGGGTGCTGAGGGTGCTGCAGCACCCCTTGGTGGAGGACAGGGGATCTGCACTTCCACAAGATTAAATACAAATATAATAAAAAAAAAAAAGAATTTTCAGCCTTGATGTAACAACATTCATAATTAAGTAAAGATAACACCCTGTTCGCCCCGGTTACATTTTCCTTTTGCACCGTACGATGGGCGCTGTAAGTGATGAAAGTGGGGGATGTTGGCTTATCAGGCGCCCGTAGCTCACAGCCAGCGTGAGAGAGAGAGATAGATAGATAGAGTATCGGTAGTGCACCGGTTCCGGCGGGGAATGTTGTTAGCTTCTGCTGCTCTAACGGATATAAGAAGCTGTTTCTTCAATAATGTGGAGGGAGAGCTCTCCTGTCAGACTGAGAGGCTCAGTTACCTCATTCACACCAACGGTGTTTCGGGGCCGGTTCGGAGCTGGAGCTTGAAAAGCACCGGGTTTTCCTCTTCTCACCGCAGCGGAGCAGCCTCTTAGCTCCGTAATCCGGTTCGTTTCAAGCACCAAAAAATTGTCCGGCCAGAGCAAAAGCACCACATACGTCACGCTTACGTCGAGGCGGGGGCAGGGGCAGATCAATTCCTGAACAACAACAAAAAGCCAGCGTTTTATCCAGTTTGTACACAACGATGAAGAAACTTAACAAGCAGCAGTGGTCCACTGAAGAGACTAGCTACCTACTGGGAATCTGGTCTTCTGAAGAGGTACAGAGGAAGCTGGAGCACAATCGGCCATTGTTGTTGTTGTCGGTGTCAGCTGTGAGGGGTTTCTGCGCGGTTTGGCTTTATGAAGCAGGCTTAACGGTTACGTCATGACGCAAACGATGACGCAATGACGCAGCAGCAGTCGGACTCTGGGCAGTGTGAAAAGAGCCGGAGCTAAACCGAAGAACCGGTTCTGAACCTGAAAAGCTCTAGCACGGAGCTTGAACCGGAGTTGCGTTGGTGTGAATGAGGTAAGTGAGGTAAAGGACTCTGAGTGTTTAGATAGTTCACTTTAATCTAAGTTGTCTCAGTGGGTCTCAAACGTTTTGATCAAAATTTATGTAAACACATATTTCCAAGGCACTCCTTAATTATTAGGATAAATAAAAACAGGTTTGAAATCATTCCAATGTATACTATAGGACAGTAAACCAAAAATATTGTTTAAAACTGGAGAGATTTAAAAATATGCATAAATAAATGTTAACTGATAAAATAAGATATTATGAACCACAAAAATAAAACAAGTTAGCCTACATGTATTTGTTATTGGCTATGGTAGGTTATCGGTTATGTTCATACTTATTTGATTATTAAAATGCAAACCAATCTTTTTCATATGGGTGTTTTAGAGTTGTATCCCCTAGATCAGTCTCTAGTAATTGGGCGCTCAAAGTGCACCAGATTGAAGCATTTTACTTTCAAATGTTAAAAAAATCTTCCCGGGGGGGCTCCCCCGGACCCCCCTAGAGGATGTGAAGTCCACCCCCCAATTAAAACATGTTCATGTAATACTAAATACATTTGAAGCCTTTTTATATAAGCTGTCCATATCAATACGTTTCTCTGTTTGTAGTGTAGTGGTCTTTTGTAGAGGTTTTTCATTGCCAGCTAAAATCTTGCCTAGGGCAGCAAATTGGTCAATACCGGCCCTGGTGTCATCCCCACAGCACCCCCCATTTGAAACATGTTCCCACGGCTATGCTTTCCGGGCCAACAAACAGGCTGAGTCGGGCTGAGTGTATGCTAAACTAGAGAGAGAATCGCTGGCAAGGGGGCTACAACTACAACAAGATGAACATATTTGACCGTGATTTAATTGTAATACACGTTTCAAAATGATGCCGAAGTAACAACATACTGATACCAGTTAGTAAAAATCATGAATTAATGCTTTGACAAGTCTGCAGACAGACGGCAGGCGAAAAAACTTTTGAAATGCGTGTTGTCTAAATGGAGTTCGGCTAAGCTAAAGCAGTAAATGCTCCGACCGTCCACACTCACAACAACGGCCTATACAGACATAAATAAACCAGCGACTGTATTCGCCATGACACAGACAGTCTGTGGTTTGTACTTGTTTAACTTTTGTCTAGTTTCTGAACAGATATGAGGAGCTGTGAGCTCTGAGTGCTAACAGCTAACGGCTGATGTTGTTTTTCTGGGGTTCCCATTGAAGATGACGTCACGGCTCCGCCTACACTGCGTTCCTATAGATCAGGGGTGCCCAACCAGTCGATCGCGAGATGTGTCTAAAAATAGAACAACAATATTCTGTTTTATCGTTAATGTCCTATAACATAATCTGTGCCAGAATAATGCACTTGAACGCATCAAAACTTTGTGATTGGCCGGCGTGACTGGTGGGCAGTGGGCACTATTTCGCTGACGTTGTCCGTGTCAACAGGAGTGACAGTCCGCACACACACAAGACCGCAATTATGGGAGAAGCAAAAAAGCCCAAAATATATAATTTTCACTCCGAGTGGGAGGATGATTATTTTTTGTATCTATTCCAATTCAAAGTCCATCTGTCTCATCTGCAATGCGAGCGTGGCTTTATCGAAGAAGGGTAATTTAGGAGCGGCATTTCAAAACAGTGCACAAACGCTACGAGACGGAATTCCCTCCTAATTCTGCCCTACGCTCCCAAAAGGGGAGGGGCCTGAAAGGACAGCTAAATGCACAGCAGTCCATTTTCACCAGGCCCAACAAAAAGAGCAAGGCTGCTACCATAGCATCTTATCGTGTCAGTCACGTTCTTGCGAAACACATGAAGTCTTTCAAAGACGGCGAAGTTGTGAAAGAAGCATTCATGGAGGCTGCCGACGTGCTTTTGGGGACAGTAAAAATAACAGTAGCATTTCAACAGGTTTTTGATATAATAAAAACTCAAGTTAGATACCGTTATTAATCAGCTGTAAGTTTTAGTTTGTTTGAACTTATTCATTATAATTATTGTACAAAATGGTATAATAATGCAAACTTAAAGGGGACCTATCATGCAAAATGCACTCTTGTACGTCTTTTATACATGAATATGTGTCACCGGTGTGTCAGGGAAGTCACCAAGTGTCAGAAAATACAACCCTCTCTCTTTTCCTCCATACCCAAATCTCTAAAAAAGGGTCTGCAACGGATCTGATACAGACTGATCCAGATTTGAATTATTTCCTACGTCACAAAAGGCGTGCTCCGCTTATTGGTCAATTCTCCACCTATCAGGGGAATGAGAGGTTGGGCCACGGCCGGCCATTGCCGCTCGAAAGTGCTGTAGTACATATGCCAGGCCTGTAAGTGGCGCTGTTGTCTGCCACAAAAGCAGCGAAGAAGACTTCCCTTGCATGGTTGCCATGGTTGCCCTTCTGTTTATTCTCCGCTGTGGCTCTTTTTCTCCCTCCCCGAGGCAAGCTTTTGCGCCTCCTGCTTTAAAACAAATGAATAATGACTCTATATAATCATATGTAAGGGATAATGTGCAGCGACGCGGTCATTATGGGGAAAAGAACACCGACAGGCTGATCAGGAGCCCGACGCGAAGGGGAGGGATCTAGATCCAACATCGAGTTCATTCAAGTAATTGAGATGTCCAGTTATGTCAGTGAGAAAGGCCATGTCACAGAGAAAGTGTGGATCCCTCAATGTGTCATAGTACGCACTTGTATCCGCAGTAAGGCTCCAAAAACACGGGAATTTCGAGGCGCAGTGCGTAAAACCTCTCCAGGCATTTACCGCGGCTCATCCACCTGATGTCTGTGTGCAGCTGTAGATGTTAATAAAATCACACAGAAGCTGTATACGTTTTTTGGGAGATTTATTTATTTTTAACACAAATACAACATTC